GCCATCGAGTCCAACCCCCTGCCAAGCAGGAAATACCATCAGAGCACTCCTGACATATGGTTGTCAAGCCTCTGCTTAAAGACCTCCAAAGAAGGAGACTCCACCACACTCCTTGGCAGCAAATTCCACTGTCGAACAGCTCTTACTGTCAGGAAGTTCTTCCTAATGTTTAGGTGGAATCTTCTTTCTTGTAGTTTGGATCCATTGCTCCGTGTCCGCTTCTCTGGAGCAACAGAAAACAACCTTTCTCCCTCCTCTATGTGACATCCTTTTATATATTTGAACATGGCTATCATATCACCCCTTAACCTCCTCTTCTCCAGGCTAAACATGCCCAGCTCCCTTAGCCGTTCCTCATAAGGCATCGTTTCCAGGCCTTTGACCATTTTGGTTGCCCTCCTCTGGACACGTTCCAGTTTGTCAGTGTCCTTCTTGAACTGTGGTGCCCAGAACTGGACACAGTACTCCAGGTGAGGTCTGACCAGAGCAGAATACAGTGGCACTATTACTTCCCTTGATCTAGATGCTATACTCCTATTGATGCAGCCCAGAATTGCATTGGCATTTTTAGCTGCTGCGTCACGCTGTTGGCTCATGTCAAGTTTGTGGTCAACCAAGACTCCTAGATCCTTTTCACATGTACTGCTCTCAAGCCAGGTGTCACCCATCTTGTATTTGTGCCTCTCATTTTTTTTTGCCCAAGTGCAATACTTTACATTTCTCCCTGTTAAAATTCATCTTGTTTGTTTTGGCCCAGTTCTCTAATCTGTCAAGGTCATTTTGAAGTGTGATCCTGTCCTCTGGGGTGTTAGCCACCCCTCCCAGTTTGGTGTCATCTGCAAATTTGATCAGAATGCCCTTGAGTCCATCATCCAAGTTGTTGATAAAGATGTTGAATAAGACCGGGCCCAAGACAGAACCCTGTGGCACCCCACTAGTCACTCTTCTCCAGGATGAAGAGGAACCATTGATGAGCACCCTTTGGGTTCAGTCAGTCAGCCAGTTACAAATCCACTGAGTGGTAGCATAGTCAAGACCGCATTTTACCAGCTTCTTTACAAGAATATCATGGGGCACCTTGTCAAATGCCTTGCTGAAATCAAGGTAGGCTACATCCACTGTGTTCCCTTCATCTACCAGGCTTGTAATTCTGTCAAAAAACGAGATCAGGTTAGTCTGACATTACTTATTTTTCAGAAATCCATGCTGACTATTGGTGATCACAGCATTCCTTTCTAGGTGCTCACAGACTGTTTGCTTAATGATCTGCTCCAGAATCTTCTCTGGTATTGATGTCAGACTGACTGGGCGGTAATTATTTGGGTCCTCTCTTTTCCCCTTTTTGAAAATAGGGACAACATTTGCCCTCCTCCAGTCTGCCGGGACTTTGCCTGTTCTCCAGGAATTCTCAAAGATGACTGTCCCCCTGTGGGGTGTGTGCCCCATGTTGGGAGCCATGGCTCTAGACCAGGGGTCAGCAACCTTTTTCAGCCGTGGGCCAGTCCACCGTCCCTCAGACCATGTCGTGGGCTGGACTATATTTTGGAGGGAAAAAATGAACGAATTCCTATGCCCCACAAATAACGCAGAGATGCATTTTAAATACAGTGGTACCTGGGGTTACATACACTTCAGGTTACATACGCTTCAGGTTACAGACTCTGCTAACCCAGAAATAGTGCTTCAGGTTAAAAACTTTGCTTCAGAATGAGAACAGAAATTGTGCTCCGGCGGCGTGGCAGCAGTAGGAGGCCCCATTAGCTAAAGTGGTGCTTCAGGTTAAGAACAGTTTCAGGTTAAGTACGGACCTCCGGAACGAATTAAGTACTTAACCAAAGGTACCACTGTAAAAGCACACATTCTACTCATGTAAAAACACCAGGCAGGCCCCACAAATAACCCAGAGATGCATTTTAAATAAAAGGACACATTCTACTCATGTAAAAACATGCAGATTCCTGGTCCGTCCACAGGCCAGATTTAGAAGGTGATTGGGCGGCATCCGGACCCCGGGCCTTAGTTTGCCTACCCCTGCTCTAGACCCATAAAAAAATATTTTAAAAAAACCCCTCAGAACATGAACCGGTGTAATATATAGGTGATAAATAACAGAATATCTTGGGAAAGAATTAGGAAAGCAAAAAATAATAATAAGGCACTGTGTGTAAAATAACAAAATGAGAAACAGTACATTGAGAATAATCAGAAGTTTATTTTATTTATTCCATCTTTCATCCTTTTCTTTCTTCTTCTTTTCTCTTCTTTTTCTGTAAAGTATGCGTATGTAGTTTGTATATACTATGTTATTGTGTGTTGTTGTGTAAGTTAATGTTGATTGTTTAATAAAGATTCTTTAAAGAAAAAAGAACATGAGCTGGTGATTGCTGCAATTGCTAACCCAGCCACATTTGTGGAATACTGGCCCAAGATGACCTGGTTCTAATGGAAGCATGGCAATTGGTGTTTTGATCCCAGAGCATTTTTTCCCCATCTGGTTCTACTCTGTGCTTATGGAATCTGGGACTTTCCCTCCGTGATTGACCTTAGTTATTTGTACTCCTTTACATCTTCCACCTTCTCTCTGAATCATTTGCAATTGAGCAAAACAAGCTGATGCATAAATCAGGGCGGGAGGCTGAGGGAATCATTCCTGCCCTCAATGCCTGGAAGGCAAAGCATGGGTAATATTCCTGGCTGCTTAAGAACTGGAATGTAGAAGCAACAGGAATGGTGGGTTGCAGAGCAGCCTTTAAGTGGGCAAGATGCCTGCAAATGCATTCCCTGAGCTCTTGCCTCACCTGTGATTTGGCAATCGGCTTTTGGCTACGGTTGTCATGGTGAAGAGCAGGGACTCATCTCTGTGTAATGAACTGGCCTTTGGCAGAGGTTGGGGGTATCTGAAGGATGAATAGGATGGAAAGTCACCAATTATGTAAAGAAACCCAGCGGAGGAGTTAATCATCTACCTCAAAGGAAGGGAGGGGGTGAAAGGTGTAATTAAGTCTGGGATGAAGTCATGGAAAAGTTCCTGATCTTTTGACAGGCTTCCCACTAGGACCTTCTGGGGACGGATGTCTAGAAATCCACTGTGGAATTTTAGTTCTCGTTTTAGCTTTAGTTTTCAAGGCTATATTGGTTTTTGAGAAGGCCTCAGTACCACACGCATGGTGCCACAGTGGGCTCAAACCAACTGCTGATGTTTTTGCCCACTCCACATGGGTCTGAGCTGCTGGGAGCTCATGGAAATATCACCCAGAGTTCCAGCTCTCAGCAGGAAGCTGTCAGCAATAGAACTGTTGACCAGATGTGTGGTGTTTGTTATGGAAGTAGATGGGAGACAGAGAAGGTCATGAAAGGGAGGAGCCATATTTCTCCAGAGGAGAGTGTGTTAGCTGGATGCACTACAGGGCTCTGGGTCAGCACGTCCCAGGCTGCGTACACACATCCCCCCTCCACAAAGAATGCTGGGAACTGTAGTTTGTTAAGTGTTCTGGGGATTATAGCTCTGTGAGAGGAAATGTACAGTTCCCGTGTGTTTTAAATGCGCAGTGCCTCTGCATCCTCAGTGTGCTAAAAACTGGGCCCCTGGTACAAAGTAGGAATGAAGTCCTGTGCTTTGCGGTCTTCAGATGTGCCTGTAAATGTCATCTTCCCTGTTTTCCTCTGGAGGGAATCCTTTTTGTAAGAAGGCAACTACTGTGGCATTACCTGTCCTGGCCCTTCTAAAAACAAAGACAGCCTCTACTTTCTTCTTCAAAACTATTATATTCCATCCAGTGCTTTTTTTTTCCTAAAAAAATGTTTAGGGGTACTCTCATTTTGACTCAAGAAAATCACCATTTTATAGTTCAAATCGGGGAAAATTAATACAGTAAATGGAAAAAGTACAAAGATTCACAAAATGTTTAGGGGTATGCATACTCCTGCGTACCCCGAGAAAAAAGCACTGATTCCATCACAAGCAAATGAATGTAAATGAAGTTTACTAAACCTCATATTCTAAACCTGTTTCATGTCCTCCTTTAGTGACCATTTCCCCCCTCCCTTAAGTAAATAGTGAAAATAGCACTGACCTTCCTTACAAGGTTGTTGTATGACGAAAAGATAACGCATGTGGCATTCCTTTGGAATGCCCTGAATATCTAGATTGTTGTAGCCCAAGTTAGTCAGAGCAGACCTATTGAAATTAATAAACATGACTAACTAAGGTCCATTAATTTCAGTTGCTCTACTCTGCGTAGAACTTAGTTTCATGCAACAGTGTGTGTGTGTGTGTGTGTGTGTATAATTGTTAGCAAAACAACAAAATAATAATAATAACAAATAATAAATTTTATTTATACCCCGCCCTCCCCAGACAAGACCGGGCTCAGGGCAGCTAACACCCAATATAAAAACAATTGAGTGAAATACAACTTAAAAGATTAAAAGCAATTTTTTCCTTCCTCTTTTTCACTCCAAAAGACTTCAGGTGATGGGAGCTTGATATTAAAACAGATCACTGAGAAAATGCAAAAAAAAATAGGGGTTGGTGTCAGCAGGTCTTTTTAATTTAGCAGTTTCTCCCTGGAAGAGGAAAATCTGGATTCAATGACCAGGGTGTGGGGGATGCAGACTGATATTTTGATGCCAACTTTCAGGCATCAAAAGAGCACCCATTTTCCACTTCCCACAACAAAGACCCACCTGGTTACCTAGTATCTCCCACCCCCATCCATTCCTAGGACTGGCTCTTGAGACATGGCATGCAAAGACAGGATCGCACATGCCCACATACATTTCTAGTGAGACACCAGGAGCAGAAACCTCCCTGCTCCTAGTTGGTTTGTGAATCTCTTTTCCCCACCCCCTTACTCCAGACAAGCCATTCAGATGCTGAGGTGCAGAGGCAGGTAAAGAGGAGGGAGGGCCCATGCCAAAATGTGTCACCCTGTGAAACTTCCCACTGATGAGGGTGTGGAAGGAAGGTAATTTGCATCTGTCTGGCAGTATAAATAGCCCTGTGAGTTATGGTCCCTCTCCAGATCTCAGGTACAACAAGGCAGGCAGGTCCTGAAGAGAAATCAGAGAGGAGAAGAAAAACCTAACCTGATCATGCCTAGCTTCAAGTCCACCATGCTGCAGCTCGTCTTCCTTGGGGCACTGTTTGTTTCGCCTGCTTATCTTCAGCAGGCGCCTTGTGATATCGTCAAGAAGACCGTTACGCGGGGCGCTTACAAGCTGAATGTGGAACCTTCTTATTTCAAACCAAGCGCCATCTACACAGGTAAGTTGCACTTTGTCTCCAGGGCTGCTGTTGCGTCTTGGCATTCCTGTCTGTGTGTTCAGAGCTAACCTGCCTTTGGCCATCTTTGGGATCCAAAGGGTGTTCTGCCATTTTGGGGCACCCTTGCCTTGCGGACCCAGTCTCACCACCAGCCTGTGAATGCAGGGCTTGTTGGGATTTTAAGCTAGCCTTGCTGCAGTGACCTAGAGAAGCTCAGAAAAGACATGGGATGGAAGATACGGTATTTGTGGGGTTTGATGCACTGTCTTATGGGATGACCAAAACCAAAAGATAAAGGAAGAGGGAGCCAACGTGGTGTCCTCCAAATTTTGGACTACAGCTGCCTTCATTCCTGTGCTGACTGGGTCTGTTGGGATCTGAAGTCCAGCAACATCTGGAATGCAACCCATTGTTTAACAGTGTGTTAGGGGATCTATTCTTTCTAGAGGCATTGTAGTTGATGTCAGATATAGAAAGAGCAACTCTGAAGTAGCCCGTAAGTCAGTGCTGGGCAAAAGGGTGTGAATCTGCCAGCCATGGAGCTGATGGATGGGCTTGGATCTATGCCACTATCTCTTGGCCACAGTCTCCCATCTGTAAAATGGGACCATAATGGTATTTGCACAGAAAAAACTGCAGTAATAATAATAATAATAATAATAATAATAATAATAATAATAATGTAATGCTCTTATCAGTCTGTCACTAAACTGTAATGCAAAGGTCCTACAGAATTCAGCTGAAAAAGGACCCAATCTTCCTTTGGTAGAAATGGTGGACTTTAAATTTTATAATAAATGAATAATTTTTAAATGAATACCAAATGAATACCCAGAAGGACAAAATGATATGAAAGCAGCATAGATTATATTGGAAGGGAACAAAATATTGATTCACACCACTTGAGAATCAGGCCTAACATATTCCGTATTAATTTTTTTAGTGCCGAAAGAGTTCCCCCAATTTTGATCATGCATCTATTGCACAATGACTACTGTGCCATTTAACCTCATAGACACTGAGCTGCCCTAACAGGGATTTGACCCACAGCCCCACCCAGGGTGGAACACAGTGTGTCACCCTTGCCATTTCCAAATATTATTTTTAGTCCCCGTGTGGGATGACGGCGCCCCAGTTTTTATCTTCCCCAAATGAAAGCTTGCTGTTCACTAATGAAGCCCAAATTTAATGAGCTGCATTGCAGGCGGCTGTTGGAGAGCCTCTTCTTGAGACATCTAGGCTAGCCAGTTTCCCTGGTCCAGCAAGATGAAGGAAGGCATGAAAAGGTTAGCTGTCCGTGGCTGCAATGTGGGTCACACATTTCAGCGCAAGAACATCTAGCAGCCAAGTCCAGATCTCTGACAAGGACAGCAGTTTTCAAATATCCGATTGTCACCTCCCTTTTATCCTCACAACAACCCTGTGAGGTAGTCTAGGCTGAGAGAGAACGACTGGTCCAAGATCATCCAAGGAGCTTCATGTCTGAGAGGGGATTTGATCCTTTGTCTCTGTCTACACTGCACTGGCTCTCTTATGCCAGTCTCCATACACCAGGAGGTTTAGAGTTGGGGGTCTCGAATGAAGAACATGGCGCTTAGGCAAGCAGAAACCTAGTGCCTTTCCCCCCCCCTTTTAGAAAAGTATATCATATGCTCAGATTTCCTGTTCCTGCTTTTTTTCTAATGAAATGGTATATTGTATTTACACTCATTCCCCTCAATGTCACAAGCTGCCTCAAGCTTAGGAGAGGCAAGATTTAAAACAAAAACAAAACACCACATTTTGAATAAATTTAGTCAAAAGATTCAGATGGCTTCTAGGCTCCATGAATTCTAACCATCTAAATCATGACACACAAAGCTATGGAAATAATAATAAATCAACAGCAATGATAAGAAGAACTTAAAGCTGTTTGTGTGCGTTATCTCGCTGTAATCCTTCCAATGCAACCCTGTTAAGATAAGTCAGTTTTATTGCACCCATACTGCAGATAGGGAAACTGATGCTTAAGAGGGGCTTTGCCTAAGGCCACACGAGACAAAGGATTTGGATTTCCCCAGCTCACTATTGCTACACACAGCAGCTGCTGTTAGTCTTCGCTATTTTGTACAAATGATGCCACAACGGCACATCCCACAATGATGCAGAGATTTTGCCTTTCTGTAGTTTCTTGGTTTCCTTTCGCCCTGCTGTGGGCTTTCTGGATTTTTTCTCCCACCATCACATCAAGGTCTTTCCTCCCTCTGCCCCCCATCCCTGTGTTTCCCAGTAAAAAATGTGATTTCTCCCACTCTCTCTGCAGTCACCATTACTGGGATTGATAACAGCACTTCCGTCATCCTGCAAGCCGTACCTTCTGAAGATGGCTCCAGCGGTCTGTGGGAAAGTGAAAACAAACCCATCAGCTGCAGTGGCGTCGAAAACCTGGTGGAGAAAAACGTCTCCAGCGGCAACAGCACCCGAACTCGCTGGACAGCCCCCAATGCCAACATGGAATCTGTGCTCATAAAGTAAGAATCCTGACCACTGGGCCTTTTCTGCACCGAAGAGTCCCTGCCCCAAGGGGTCTACAGCCTCACGCTACCAACAAATGTATTGTTTCTCAATACAGTTGTATCTTGAATTACCACAGAGCAGCTCAGGGTTAAAATGGCGTCGGCGTTGAGAGACAGTGACATAGATGCAGGAATTTTTCTCCCTCCCCAAAAAGCTTGGACAAATTTGTGGCCTGTTAAGCACTTTCAGCCCCTAAACAAAAGCTCCATGTGTAAAGGGAAGGTCCCTGTGGACAGGAAATGTCGGATAATGGCCATGGCCTTCATGCCTGACATGTGAGCTTCTCACAGATAGTGGGGTGGCTTCTTCTGCAAGGCCAAAAGGCACTAACTATGCCAATCTAAGTTAGAACTGAATTTTAACGGAAGGGTGAGACTGGGGGAACTAATCAGAGCAATTATCTGATAGTTGGGGGCGTGTGTGTGTGTGTGTGTGTGTAAGCGATAACAGTGGCGGAACTTGCTTATTTCTCCTATGAGAAGACATCAAAATGTATTACTTAAATCAAGAAGGCTGAATTATCCGTAATTGTTTGAATTGTCTGGTTTTTCCTTTGAGGGGGAGGGCTTTTATTATCCTCTGCTTTCATAGGAACTGTCTCACAGCAAATCAAACCACTGGTCTATCTAGCTTAGTGTTGCTTACCCAGATTGGCAGCGGCCGTACAGAGTTTAAGACAGGGGATCTGTACCAGGAGCTGCTGGGGACTGCACCTAGGAGTCCTTCTGCTTTAGGCAAAGGGTTTGTGGAGAGGTTGCAACACTTCTAGACACAAAGCCTGATATTTCCTTGCTGACAGGGAGAGGTGTGTGACTCCTAAGTGCAAAACGTAAGACATAAATTTACGGCACAAAATGTGGTTTTGTGTAACGAGGCACTGCTTTATCCAAAGGGGCATATATCAGCCTGCCACCTCATGCCTGTCTGATGGATATGCTTGCTTTAATTTATATTGAGTGCTCTATAGCAAAGCTTAAGATTCATTTCCCCCTTTTTTTGCAATGATCACCAAGAAATGCCAATTGGCTGAAGAAAGATCATATGCAGATAAATTACACTAGCAATAATTACCCATATCTCCTACGCTTGCTCCTAAAAGTTATCAGCATAGTTGCTCAGGCACAAATGAAAAGGAAGCCCTTATTATTATTTTTTCCTTCTCCAAATGCCAGCTAAAATGGGGTTCGGGCATCACTGCACCCCCTCCCCCATTTTTAACAGAAGTGCTGTTTGGCTATCATTTCACAGCTTCTCTCCTCCACCATTCATTATCCTCATTTTCTGTTTGTTTCCCAACAGGTCTTTTGTCATCTTTGCCAATGGAACAACCCTGCTGCAAACTCAGACCCTGGCAAGAGGTAATTTTGTGAGAAAGCAAGGTCTCCCTCCAGTGTCAGTCTGTCGGGAATTGTAAATGGGTAAAGTGCGGTTGCGTTCAGATCCTGTTTAAAGGCTTCCTATGAGAGAATACATTTTGTTGGCTGCTGTGAGAGCAGGATACTGATGGGCCAATGGCCTGATCCAGCAGAGCTCTTCTTATGTAACATCCAAAGCAACCTCTCTCTCAATTTTAACATTTTTCAACCCCACCCATTCTCTTCCATCTAAACAATGGGGGGGGGGGGAGGTGACTACTATTGGCTAACATAGCCCAACTTCAATCTCAATCTCAGGGCAATTCCTTCAAAGATTGGCAGGAGGGGAAGTTGATGCAATTCCTGTTTAGCAGGTGGAAACAACCTAGTAAGCTGTCTTACACTGTCAGACCATCAGACCATATAGTATTATCTGCGCCAGGCTTCCCCAGAAATTTTAGGCTGCTGAGCTGGCTATTACACTGCTGAATATCACTTTTTTGGAAATTGCAGGTGGGCAGAGTGCTGTTATGCTCCTGCAAACCTTTCAGGCTAAGGGACGCTGGTGGCGCTGTGGGTTAAACCACAGAGCCTAGGACTTGCCGATCAGAAGGTTGGCGGTTCGAATCCCCGGTTGGGGTGAGCTCCCATTGTTCAGTCCCTGCTCCTGCCAACCTAGCAGTTCGAAAGCATGTCAAAGTGCAAGTAGATAAATAGGTACCGCTCCAGCGGGAAGGAAAACGGTGTTTCCGTGCGCTGCTCTGGTTTGCCAGAAGCGGGATAGTCATGCTGGCCACATGACCTGGAAGTCGGCTCCCTCGGCCAATAAAGCGAGATGAGCGCTGCAACCCCAGAGTCGGTCACGACTGGACCTAATGGTCAGGGGTCCCTTTACCTTTACTACCTTTCAGGTTTCCCCCCCCCCACAAGTGTCTGGCTGGCCCCTGTGAGAGTAGGGTGCTGGACTGGCTAGGCCACTGGCCTGATCCAGCAGGCTTGTTGTGCATTCTTACATTCTGGGGCTGATAGGAGTTGTTGACACCTGGAGTCAAAAGTATCAGAAGGACACCAGGTTAGGGAAAGCTGATATACACTGCTCTCACTGGCAAGGGCTCTCTAGGATTTCAGCCAGGCAGTATTTTCCCAGACCTGCCGTGAGAGGCTGGAAAGTGACCTTGGAAACCTTCTGCCTGCAGAGCACTGAGCCACAGGCCTTCCTGCCTCCTCAGGCCTTGATTTATGTGAGGGCTTTGAACTCAGGCCTTCCCCCCACCCCAGTCCACCTACAGATCCTTTTCTGCTAAGCCGCAACAGCTTGGCTAATCTGATTTGTTTCTTTCAGACACAACAACCACCAGCATCAGATCGGTGTCCTCCTCCGCCACCCCTCGCCCTGACACCAGCACCCCTGCTTCCCACAATCCGACGCTTCACAGCAACCCGACCGATGGCCACGTCCTCCTCAACGCCAGCACCGTCCATCACCATAACTTCGCTTCCTCCCACCAGTGGACACAGGGTCCCAAAGGCTCGGCCTCTGCAGCTCAAGGCAGCTCCTTCCTCCTGGCATTCCTGCAGCTCCTCTCCATCTCGCTGGGCTTCAAGCTCCTCTCCTAAGCTGAATCCCGAATCCCCACAACACGCATTCCCTGCTTTCCTCTCGTGCGTGGCCACCTTCCCTTCCAAACCGAACGTGAAGGGCGGGTGGCTGGTCTCCTCGAGAAGGAGATCCCTCCCTCCCTGCCTTCACCTGCAACTCTCTTTCCCCTCCACACCATTATGCATCTTTATTTGCACATTTATTTCATCAATCCCTAATATAGCCCAGCTGCTGACTTAGAAGATATGGCAGCAGGTAGCTGTACTGAGAGACGTCTAAAGAGAGAGGGCTCATGCCTTTAGGGGGCTGGGAGCAAGATCCAAACATTGTCTCTTTTTTATTTCTTCTTTTCCCCTGCCTTGGGGACAAAAATATAATAATAAGCTAAATAATCAACAGACTTAACTCTGCCTGTTGCATATGGATCCAGTGCTGCTAAGATCTTCCATGGCAAGAGTAGGAATAGACCAGATATTTTAAGTTAATATTATTTTATCAGGCTCGGGACAATGATGCAACCTTAGGAAAGGAAGCGTCTCAACAGTTCCTTCTGTGCATCCCACCTCCCCACCCCCCAAAAAATTCTTCCAGTTCTCTGAAAGAGAAGTGCTAGGAAACTGGTGTCTATCCTTGGAGGATATTTGACTGGATGACACAGAATGGAAGGAAAGGCTGATCCACTGAGAATCTCCACTATACACTACGAACAAAGGAAGCAGCATTTTGTACCTCCATGTAGTTCAAGAAGGCTGTTCCAAAATTCTGACACCACACATTCACACACCCCTTTCCCATATTTTATTTTCCGCGATAGAGGAAAGAAAACCCGGCTTTTCCATTTGAACACAGATCCGAATGCCCATGTGCCAAACAGATCTGAATGCCCATGTGCCAAATTTGAAATTGCACCCTTTCTTCAGCTTCTGAAACAACCATCAGTAGACGTTATGCAGATTAAGGGAGGCCCCTTCATTTACTGTATATTATGAGCCCCCTGCTGGCAGGGCAACCCCCATGGACTGTAAAATATTTATTTGCTCTGAAATACTCGGATAACTCCTCTGCTCCTTAAGAAGTGCTCACCCTACTGTCTCCATAGGTTGTATGCAGAGAGGAAAATGGGGTGAAGGATGAACCAAGTCTATTGGTGGTTAATTGTGGGCTTCCACAGAAAGATAGGCTGGGTTTGCTGCCAGTGGCTTTTGTTACAGACTGTGTTTCCTCAGGGAAATGTATTTTGGAAATCTATTGTATTTGAAAGACCCTGGTTCAATAAAACTGCTTCCTAATGTCCTATATATAACTGTGGCCTTCTTTTGGGGGTGTTGCGGGGGTGGGGAGAGGGTAGTGAGTGAGGAATGGACAATGAGCAAAGGGTTAGAAAAGGAGCACATTAGTGGCTCAATTTCAGCTGGTTTATATACTTCTCAAGGTCGTGAGCAAAAGTCTCTGAAAGAACAAGGTTAAATCCTCCCTTTTTACTTATGCCAGCGTTAAAAGTCACAGCCATGACTTTTTGGAATGGGTTTTTTTTTCCTGCCCCCCAGGCAAATGCTGCCTCTTTTGCTGTAACAACCTTTCCAAGCCAGTTTCAGCCAGGAAACCGACCTCCCCTCCCCTGCTTTATGTTGACATTCGTTTGAGGCTGCAGAATAACAACGGGATTTATTGGTGCCGCGGGACGCCTGATCCATTTTAATGAGGACTAGGATATTGCAGATCACTTGGGGTGCTAAAAGAAGTGAACACAATTATACCCTTTTCATTCAGCGGCACATCGGCAAATGGGAGTTGTTACCCTGTGTACTTTAGAAACATCAAGAGGAGCCAACTGGTCAAAACTCTGTATAGTTAACCAGAAAAATAATAATAATACTGTGGTACAGGGGAGGTCAGCAGCAAAAATGAGGCCAAGTACCTCTTGGTGGTGTGGAAATGGTCTCACATGTTAGATTTCTGAAAGGAAAAGCATGATATATTTTAATACTCCCAGACATACTTTTTGGGATTGATTCCATTGGTTTTGATGGAGTTATTTTTCAAATAAGCACACTTAGGATTGATTGTGGAGTCCTTTGCCAACCTGGCACTGATGTAAAAATTGGGGTTTAGGTTTTGCTGCCCAACTCCCCATGGGACTCTGAGTCCCCTAAGTCCAAGATCAGTCAGAGAAGAATGGATGGAGGCAGGATCCAGTGGAAAGCAAGGCAGATATTTATTTTTCTGTTGCAACAGAGTTCCCTCCTCGCCTTCCAAGGAGGGAGAGACCCTGACCAAAAGTGAGCAGGAACCATTAAAGACTTTTGACATTGCCTAACCCCCTTCGCCAAAGGCCACCCCAAAATCATCATACGTACATCATAGCAGGCAGTCTACAGCAGAAATTCTGTCTGCCAGGATAAAGATCACTGATTACATTACCTTGGCAGCCTGGCCATTCTTTTGTGATGGTTAATACTTTAGTTCCTGAATTCAAGTCACAGGCTCACCCTAAAAAGGTAAAGGGACCCCTGACCATTAGGTCCAGTTGTGGCCGATTCTGGGGTTGCGGCGCTCATCTCACTTTATTGGCTGAGGGAGCCGGCGTACAGCTTCCAGGTCATGTGGCCAGCATGACTAAGCCGCTTCTGGTGAACCAGAGCAGCGCATGGAAATGCCGTTTACCTTCCCGCCGGAGCGGTACCTATTTATCTACTTGCACTTTGACGTGCTTTTGAACTGCTAGGTTGGTATTCATATACAAATATGCCCTTAAAACAGAATGTGTAAGCAAAAAGACAATGGGAAGGCTTTCCCCATTTGCCTCCCTTACTGCAGAGGAGTATTAGAGGTCATTGGGAGAGTCGAAATGGCTTCAGGATTGCTCTCCTGCTCAGACACATGGTTCATATATTAAGATATGTGTGCATTTGTTGTGTATTTGAGACCTTAGAATTCTTATAACAGCGCCCTCCAGATATTTTTGGACTGCACCGCCACCCTTGCAGCATGCACTGGCTGGGGCTGATGGGAATTGTAGTCCAGCATGGCAAAAGTTGGATTAGGATGGGGAAACTCTCTGGAAATGTGAAAAATGGCAATCCTTCAAGTAACCACAGAGGCCCGAGTGACAAGCTACTCCTCTGGGATGGGAGTCTTGCCTGCTCCCTTCCCTAGCCTGGACAATGCTCACCCAGCCCCCCGCCCCCCAAGTCCCACATGGATGAAGGATGCCTCCTTGAAGCCTACAAGCAGGTCACAGGCAAGAGTTTTCTCCTGACAACTGCTCCTGAATAAGGAGGCTCTGCTTGTCTATCATTACTAATAGAGACCGACAGACATCTTCTTTTCATTAATTTCTCTAATCCTCTTTTTTTAAATAAGAGAACCTGTTTCATACTCTCATTGTGTGTTTTTGCCAGCCTGGATTGATTGATTGATTGATTGATTGATTGATTATTTTCACAACAAAAAATGACAATATAAAAAACACAGAATACATAATAGAAATAAAAACAAAGCCAATCCAATATAAATCAGCCAAAGGTCTGGCTGAAGAGGAATGTTTTTGCCTGGCGCCTTAAGGTGTATCATGAACCTCCCTGGGGAGAGCATTCCACAAATGGGGAGCCACCACAGAAAAGGTCTGTTCTTGTGCTGCCGCCCTCTCATGGAGGAGGCACATGAAGAAGGGCCTCAGCGGATGATCTCAGTGTCCAGGTGGGCTCATATGGAGAGAAGCAGTCCTTGAATATGAATTTGAAATCTGATAATGCCTCTTGCTTGTCGGGGTGGAAGACAGAGAGGGGTGTGCATAGAAATAAGCCTACTGCACAAAGGTAAACTTCACTGAGCCACCTGCTTTTGCTCTTGTCTCGCCCAACACTGGCATGTGCCCCCCCCCCAAAGGAAGTGTGGCCCTCAGACTGGACTCTGGGCAAGGGAGGGCTCACTGGATTTGGTGTCACTCTGTATGGTAAAAGGGACAGTGAGTTAAACAATCCCAGACTCCTCCACAAAATCCTTGTGGTCACTTCCCCAAAACAGGATAGATTTTTCTTTGATTGTGCCACAGATAAAGAAGCACATCTTACTTGGAAATACCCAACAAGTTTTATGTCTGTGCAGGATTGTAGCCCAAGTGAATGCACCATCCAGAACTGCAGCTTCTCACAGGTCTGCCTCTCTCAGGTGATGTTACTAGGCAGGTAAACAACAAGGGAAATTCCCAAAGGCTGGGATGCACAGAGGAGGTGCTGCTTTCTTTATCTTGCATTCCTATCAGGCGTCTTCAACAGCATGCTCAGAAGTTAGTCAGCTGCTGTGGAGCTTCCCTCATCTAAGCTCAGGGTTACTCAACCAGGTGCTCTTGAGAGGTTATGGGTTCCAATTTCGATCATCCTGAAGGCTCCACTACACAATTTACTGAGCACTAGTGGAAAGCGGAATTCTAAGGAACCACATAAAAAAAAAAGTACAATTTTGAAATCAGTGGTTAAAATCAATGTGATTCTGAAAAATTCAGCTGGCCAACTCGATTCAAAATGGCGTCCAATTTTATTCAAATATAGACAAAAACCTGCTCCTTCATCTTGAGAAGCGTCATGCAAATTTTGCCACACATTTTAAGGACCACAGCCAGTTCCCTCACACATTCAGGATTAGGGGAAGAGTTTCCAAGTGAAAGAACCTCTCATTAAGTACTGCTGAAGTCTTCCCACACCCCACAACAAAATACTAGCATTAACCATTAACCAAAAATACTAGCATTAACCATCTGAGTAATGCCTCCCTCCCCCAGCACCTGTTCAGCAATAGCTGTGCCACAGTCAGATGATGGGATGAAACCTCCCTTGATGGAACAAAACGTTCTGCCTTTGCCTTCTCCCTCTCCCTCTCTCTCTCTCCCACACCCACACACTGTTATGGCTATTAAGGAGCCATAACACAAGGACAGAAGAGGAGCCTGTTAATCAGGTAAATGGCCCATCTACTTCAGCATCCTGTTCTCACAGTGATCAACCAGATGCCTGGGAGAAACTGGCCTGTAGAATTTGGGCACAAGAACACGCTCCTCTGCTATGATTTCCAGCAACTGGTATTTAGAGGTATTGAGCACAGCCAATGCTATTAAGCCTTCTCAATGAATTTGTCCAATCCTCTTTTGAAGCCATCCAAGTTAGTGGCCATCATTGCCTCCTGTGGCAGTGAGTTCCATAGTTTCACTATGCACTTCGTAACCAATACTTCCTTTTCTTTGTCCTGAATCTTCCAACATTCAGCTCCATTGGACGGAACGAAGTCGCTTGCTGATCTCTACCCACACAGCTTCTCCCATTTCCATCCATGAGTTTCGCTTGCTCAATTGCCTGCCCTTCTTGCTCAAAACATCCTCAATCTTCCTCATGGGAAAACAGTTTAACTCTTTCCCCAGATCAAACCTGGCCCATGACACATCCACCCAGAAACAGATTTGTTACAGCAATGCCCTCTCACATTCTTGCGATGCAGACCAGGGGAGAGAGAATTTGGAAACTGGTCCGTGCCATCTCAAGCAGGTGTGGCCCTCCAGTCTCCTAGCTCAGCATACCATCTTAGGCCCTCAAAATTTTATTTTTCAACAACTCTACTTTATTTTCTACTTAATATCCTGACTTTCCATTGGCAAACGGATTTAGCATTTGGGCAAAACGACGGCAGCGGTGTACCGCAAATGTGTAGCAAAGGGGAAAATAATCAAATGAAGCATGGTTCTCAATGGCGGCTTGAGGGACAGCTGAACAGGGCCCCTCGTCCCACTGCAGTTGATGAGGGTACAGAGGAATACACCTGCAGAGTATTATGGCAACCTCCACACACACACCAACACACACATACCAGTTCTGCAGCAGCTGGTGCACAAAAGTATACATAAGAATCTACTGGATCAAGACAATGGTTCATCTAGTCAGCGGCGTCTCAGGGGGAGCGCCTGAGGGGCAGTGGCCCCGGGCATATTTTGAGGGAATGCATTTTGCTCCTCAACGCTCTGCCAGCCCTGTACAGCTGCATCCCTGCCCGCCCGTATCCCAGGGGGAGTGGGCAACAGTCAGGCATCTGAAGTCTGCACTCACACTGCCCTGCCAGCTCCACGCCACTTCACGATGCTACATGGCTGCGTGAGGAGAACACAACAGGCACACGCCCTTTCTTTTCTTCCCAAAAAAAAATTATTCATTTTATAGCACAAATAAACAGAAAAACAAACAATACAAACAAATTCTTGTCTTATCGTTAATTTTTCTAAACAATGTCAGGTGATCTTCCCCAAGTCCCCCCATCTGA